GTTTTGCTGACGCCCTAGCAAAACAAGGGACTGTAAGGGAGAGTCTTTTTTGGGCAGTGCGGTAATGTTTGATGTTTATTGGATCAACCTTTTCTAATAATGGTTGAATTCTGTATTTAAGGTTAATTTATCTATAATGAAAGTTATCGTTTCTGATCCAAAAAAAGGCATGTTCTCCTAAAAGCAGTGGGGGATTAGGACTTTGACCTATTAGAATGATGAACATGCTCTCCTCAGTAAATGATTGTGGAGTTTGGGAGTAGGATCGAGACATTTGGAGAGGAATTATTTGTAACAAATTGCAGCAAATTGTAAGCACCTTCATAGATTGGGAAACATGGCATTCCTCGATATTATATGGATCAAGCTTGTGGATGGGCATTAAGCTTGTGGAGAGAAGTTTTTTAAAGGCACATTTGATTCAATCTAGGTGCAAAGGAATTTGGGGACAAATACAGTTTCTTAATTGATACACACACACTAGCCTTTCAGAATAATGAAACGTGCTGTTTTGTTTTGTTTTTTTTTTGTTTTGAGTGATTTTCCTATTTTTTTAGAATGCTTATAATTACTAGTTTAAAAAAATAATTAGTAGTTTCCTATTTTGTTTATGAAACTATTAGTTTGTATTAACTACCATTTTGTTCAGTTTATATTTCCAGATATCTTTTTTGTAATTTTCCTTGCTTATAATTTCTGGCTACTTAAGTTCTTTTCTACTGGGACTGTAATTCGAATGTAAGAAGTCTATAAGAAATGTAAAGGCTGCCCAGAAACAGTTTTCTGGGTTTACAGGGATCTTCTTAAGAAAGCTAATTGGCTCACAAGGAATATGTCAGCCAGATTTCAGTGGGTTAGCAGATCGGCAAATGCTATGGCTGATTCGAATGTAAGAAGTCTATAAAAGAGATGTAATGGCTGATTCTTTGGCTAAACAAGGGGTCTCAAGGATTGAATTATTTTGGGCTACCTTGTGATTGTATTCTGTCAAGAGTTTGGTTATGCTGTCACCTTTAAGGGGAGGTAACAGCCTGTGCTTCCTCTTAGGGTGAATGTACATTTCCTTTTCTTATTAATAAAATCATTACTCATTTATCAAAAAAAAATTGCCCATGGGGGGGTTGGATTTTGAGGAAATCTGTGGGTTCGTTATTATTATTTTTTTTCTATCTAGTTTTGATCATTTTGGGACAAAACCCACCAGGCCACCATAGAACTTTCAATCTTCAACCTTGTTTCACGAAGATAAATGCCAAACCTTGAGTTTACCTACTAACCAAATGCTATTTTTTAAAATTGGTCTTAGTCTCCTTTGCATGGCAAACCTTGAGTTCACTGTGTTGTCATAATAATCTCATTTTGTAAATATCTTTTGTTAAGTATGGGTAGTTCTGTAATTCTGGAAGATCTGAAGTCTTTTCTCTTCATGGAAAAGTGTTTGGCTGAACTTCCAAGGGTGGTGTTTGCAAGATCTTAGAACCTTGCTCAAGAAAGCAAATTAGGAAATGAAAAATATAAAAATATGGTAGCCTCTGATTATTCCAAACCAAGGGTGACATATTCATTTAAAAAACTGAGAGGACTCTTGTTCAATGGGCTGCAATTATATGCAATCTGGAGGGCTCAATTAAAATCAATTTAGGAATCAGTAACGAATGGGCTTCTGTATAATTTTAGATCAGTGTAATAGTTTCACAAGATCTACTTCATTGGACAAGCTGCAAACAATATTTGGTTTCATTCAAGAAATTGATGCATCATTTACATGCTTTTGTAGTAGTCTTGTGCATGGTTTCAAATGTCGCTAATGTCGCCCGACATATGTTGATGTCGAGGCTCACCGACATGAAAATGGATAGTAATATAAAAGTTACATTATTTCGGTCGACAAATCGCTCCAAATAACCAAAAAAAAGACAGTTTTTCCTATTATGTTGACAGGATGTCAATAATGTCAATAGGATGTCGACTAATGTACATTAATATAAATTATTCCATTAATAATTTCAATTTAATATTTCAAATAAAATATTAATAAAAAAGAATTAACAAAATATAAAAACAAAAGAATAAATTAATTACTTTATAATGTAAAACATAAAATATTTTTCAAGTAATAAAATTAGTATTTTTTAAAGTATTTATTAAAATCAGAAAATGTTTATTAAATCATATTCTACATTTAATATAAAAAATCAGAATAAATTTATTAAGTTTTATACTAAATCATAATTTATTATAAGTTTAGTATTAAAAATCATAATAAATTCATTAAGTTTTATAAGAAATCAGAATTTATCATAATCTTAATACTACAAAAAGGAGAAACAGTTTATTAAATTTATAATAAAACATAATGTATTATAACATTAATATTTAAAAAATCAGAATAAATGTATTTTTATTTACTAGTGTTAAATAAATATATTAGAATTTATAATAAATCAKAATTAAAAATAAGAAAAGAAAATATCAGATAACCTTGTAAGAACATCAAAATGCATAATAAATCAGTAAATCACCATTTACTAATTTATTATTGATTTTAGTTTCTTATCTTTATATAATAATTGAGAATAAGATAATAGTCTAGAAATATGTATTAATGCTTCTTTTATCATTTTACAAAGTATCATTGCATATTCCCACATATTTCATAATATTTCCACAATGTCTCTAATTTTTACAATATTTCCCCTCAACATTTCTGACATATGTCCTATTTTGGTAAGCGACATTTCCTTCAACATCGACATTTTAAACCTTGGTCTTGTGATTCAATGATGGTTGAGGAAAATTTTCTCAACTTTGTCACTACCACTGATTTAAAAGGCACGCCTAGGTGCACCAGGCGTGTACCTTTTGAAAGTGCTGCACCTAGGACCTACCTAGCGCCTTAGCTCTGGAATCCCCTATTTGATAATGTTGTTCATTCATTAATCCTACTAAAATATCTTTTTAAAAAGCAATTAAAATTATTAAATCATCATTTTTTGCGTGAGAACTAAGAATTTAAAACCCTAACATGGACTTGTATGGGCTTGCCTCGAGAGGCGTTGCACAAAGGCGGCTCGTAGAATCAGGAATGTAATACGTTTTACATCACATTAGCTACTTGAAGTAATGCAATTGAGGAAAAAAAGAGATTGTGGGCTTTACATGATTGAAGATGTTTTATATATTTGATTTTATTTTTAAATTTTCATTTGGATATGCTTTACATGTTTTGTTTATGTATTTTAATTTTAGATAATAGGTTTTTTAAAACATTAATTTTAAAATTTAAGTTTATATTTCTTATCAATATTGTTTATTTTTTTTTGAATTTTTGGTGTTTTGTTTTTGAATTTTCTGACTTTATTTTTTGATTTTTTAACAATTTTTTGTATTTTTGCGCCTTGCACTTTTAAAACACTGGTGCCTTGAACTAAATGGTTCCAATGGTGTTGTTTGTGCTGCTCACTTTATTTAGTGGTTTGACTGGATGTCTCACTTTAAAATTTCTGGAAATCAATGTTCTACAAGTAGGTTTACTTAGGAATACTTACATCTATCAGTTAACATAGGTTTCTTCTGGTTTTTGTGCTGCTCATTTTCATATGTATGTTTTTAGATAGCTTTTCTAATTTTTCTATTGCTCCATAATATGCTATAATCCTTTCTCATCAGTTGTTTTGACTGGATGGCACTGTTAGGCAGTTCCATCTTGTATTTTTTATTACATGGCATGCTAAATTTTAAATAGTTTAATATGTTTACATGTCCATGATGTATTTTTGCATATGGTATCCGTTGAGTTTCGACATGCAAGGCATTGAATGCCCAGTTGAATTTGATTGTATTTTCTGGTCTGAATTGTTGTAAACTATTTCTACTTTCTAGTAAAATTAGCATTAAGAGCATTTAATAGATGGTTCTCTATATGATAGTTCTTATGCATTGACAATATTACATTGATTAACACATTCTTTTTTTCTTTCATTTTGTTGCAGAGAGACACTATTATAGAGATTTTCTATGAGAAACACTTGGATCATTTAATTGATCTTATAACATTATCATGCCCCTTGAAAGGTGCTGCAAAATGTAGTAAATCATCTGGCTCTGGTGGAAGGACTGAAAATCAAGCTGCTACAAAGCCTGAAATTTTATTAAACATCTGTGAATTGCTATGCTTTTGCGTTCTTCACCATCCGTACAGGATAAAGTAATTTTTAAAAATTTTGTGGGCACGATTTAACTATTCAGAATTGGTGTGGTGGTTCTGTTTTTTCAATGATACGCGCTTCTGACATGGTCTTGTTTTCTGTTTCTAGGTGCAATTTTCTCCACAATAATGTGATAGAAAAGGTCTTATTTCTAACTCGCAGAAAGGAAAAGTACCTAGTTGTTTCTGCTGTCCGATTTATGCGCACTATCATTTCTCGCAATGTGAGTGCTTGCATTCTAAATATAAGATGCACTCCATAAAGTGTACTAATGCATAGAAAACGATATTTGTAATTTTTTGCATTTAATTATCTTATTTCATTATGCATTGTGTGGTAGGAAAGTGTTGTTACTTGTGTGCTTCACATCTGAGTTGTGAACTGTCTGGTTTCACATGAGTGCCATTGAGGAATTAAATTAAGTTCTAGGATAGCAAATAAATACCATGTTCTGATGTGCAATATGTGTCAGCTTTGGATTGTGAAATCCTTCAGTTGGTTGAATTGGCATTGGATTATATTGTTGCTTTTTTTCTCTGGAGTTGGAAAAACTGTTGGAATGTGATTCTATATTGTTGCTTTTCCTTAATCCTTGTATTTTATATCCTCGTGACTTGATGTCATGCCACTGGGAAGGACCATTCCCCAGCTTGGTAGTCGTATCAAATGAAATCTGCAGTCCTCCTTTTCCTGTTCTGATTCAAGGGTTACTTAGACTACAGAGATTCTAGTGCATAAACCTTTAGTGCTAAGAATATTAATTAGGGTCAAACTAATTTACACGTTACATTATTTTATCAAATAAGAGAGAGAAGAAAATTCTTCATTCAGTTTATGTATAACCTCAGGATTGTCTTTGGTTTGAAAGAAAAGGTAAGGAGAGGAAGGGAAAGGTAGGGAACCCTGTACCAAGTATCCCTACCTTTCCCTATCTTTTCTTCCAAACCAAACACAGCCTAATATATATACTTTCGTTTCCTATTCTATCTACTGGACCAGCATTTGTGATAGACTCCTAAGCTATGGATGTGAGTTGTTTACTGAACTCGTGAATATGCAGGATGACCATCTGCTGCGGCATATTGTCAAGAATAATCTTCTAAGATCAATTGTAGAAGCTTTCATTAGTAACGGAAACCGTTATAATCTACTCAATTCTGCTGTTCTGGAACTGTTTGAGTATATTCGAAAGGTGCTTCTTTTTCTTATTCTACGCTCATTTTATGGTTCTCACAACTACAATTTGTTCTGCTAATATATATATATATATATGTTTTTATGCAGGAAAACCTCAAAATCTTAATTGCATACATAATGGATTCTTACTGGAATCAGCTAGCCAAATTTGATTACCTTGGATCTATTCAAGCACTGAAAATTAAATATGAGCAGGTGGATAACTATATTTTATGTATTTCTTTTTCACACACACATGCAGACGTATAGGTAGATGGATGAATAGATGGATATATAGACATACAAGCTTGACATTTAACAGCTCTTGTTATATGACATGTTATTTGTCAGTCCCTGGAGAGCTGTGAAACTAGAGGTCCTACTAATGTGGTTGACCCAAGAAAGCGAATTGATGAACGGGCTCTTGAGAAAGAAGAGGAGGATTACTTCAACGAGGACAGGTTACAACTTGTGAAGATAATATATGTTGTTTCCATTTTGAATTTTATCTCCACTGAGTCGTTTTTATTTGGCAGTGATGAAGAAGATACTGCATCTGCTCGCACATCACATGTCCATAGCCAACAAAGCCAACCTGGCTTACCCAATGGTGCCACCGTCAGTTACCCATTGCTGAGGTATTAATGTAGCCTCTTTTTTAGGAGATTTAGAATGTTTTATTGCAAATGTCATTCTGATGCGTACATATGTTGTCTTAATTTCGTAGGCCTGGATCTGGTGGATTGGTTGACTATGATGATGACGATGATGATGAAGATTACAACCCACCACCAAGGAATAAAACAGAGACTTCTTCAGATGACAACAGAACTACAGACTCCTCTCCTAGGTCAAAACGGAAATTAATTGGTAAAGAAGCGGAGCTTGAGCTGACAAAGAAGCATAGGCTAGATAAGAACCCAAAAGATACTGCCATCAGTTCTGTTGCTTCATCAACATTGAGCCATGGATCTTTGGCTGGTAGGAAAGTAACCGCCACGTGTCTTGCTTCAAGAACACCCGATGGTAATGGCAGTTCAGATGAAGAAATTCATGGCGACAAAGATCCCGCGGTTCCAAGAGGCTGTTCCAATTGCTCACCCAACAATTCGGGCACTAGGCAATCAAGTGGGGAGGATTGTTCATTGATACCCCCCAACGGTAACAATTCATCAGAGATGGCTGTAAATGGCGCCAATGTCACAGGTTCGGAACCATATTCAGTACGATGACTTCATTGCATCCATATATTAACATTATTTGATTTCTGCCCGAGCCAGAGGAATTACAAGAGGTGTTGACCGGGACAGCTTTCCTCGTTCAAATGGGAAAAAAATGATCCATACCTAAGGGTAAGTGGACCAAACAGAACGAGTGGTTGAGTTTCGGGTTCTCTATCAACGGATGTCACCGCAGCGCATCGGAATTCACAAATCTCTTGGTTATGTTGATCCTCTCTGCGTCCATGGTTTGTCCTTCGTGGGCCAAAAAAAAAACAATCTTGTTGCTCCTGTAAACATTCATTATACTTGAAATGCCTCTTTTGCCCTTCTGTTTGTTAGTCCTTGCCATTTTTTTCCGTCATCCATATCATAGAAGGGCAGCAATATTTGCCCTCGCATTTATCCTCGTTTCTTTCTTTCATATGTAAATTTTGCCAGGTTCTTGGGAGTAGTTTAGGCTTAACTTATAAAGTATTTCTTTTCCTTTTCTTTTATCGCTTTCCCCCTTTTTTATCTTTTGCAGCTGGGGATCAGAGTCTCCGACAATGTAATATGTTATGTAGACTTAACTGTAACATAGTTGTTGGCAGGCGTAACCATAGTATAGTGCATTACTTGCGGGGGGGGGAATAACTAGTACAGTTCATATTTTTTTTCAAGGCCTAGAAATCAATTGCATAAAGTGGATATTGCCTGCTTGTGCTACCTCACATTGTATTTAGTCTTTCCTATGGGCAACATGATTATCTACTTTTGATTTAAGACTGCACAAATAAGGGCTTATTTTGGAAATGTGATTGGTTCTCAAGATGGAGGTTCTCCCGCTGTCCTGCAATTGAAGGGTAAGAAGATGCCAGTATCTCATGCCCTTTTGGGCTCCCTTATAAGTTGATACTGAGGAAGATTTGCCGTTTGTCTAGAATTAAAAATCTTTATAAAATGATCGACTACCATTTCCGTGTCGTAGTGGAATTTTATTTGTACCGGTGCAAATGCACGAGAGTTGCAAATAAAATAGTGCAAATTCTTGTCTATTTTTGCTTTGGTTTTTCTTTTACTTCATCTTCTCTGCGAACAAGCAAAACTATTGTTGTATGGTTTTTCTCTTTCTCTCTCTCTCCAAGAACAATTGTAACTGTGGCAGCCATCGGCGGCCACCACGACGCGATGTCCAGGATTTCGAGATGGAATTAGTTGGTCGATGGTGAAAACCGGAGATGTCTTGGACAATAGAGAAGCTTCTGCAACTGTGGTTCGGAGTAGCAGCAAAGAAGCTCTAGATGTCGATCCCAAAGCTGGAGTCTCATTTTATAAGCCTAAATCCTATGAAGCTCTTGTCACATATGTTGCAGATTTTGATCCCAAAGCTAGATTTCATCTAGGAATTGATTTTCTGCGGGTTTTCTTACCAAATTCTGTCTACAAATCCTATGAAGCTTGATGTGGGTTAGTTTGGCCCAGCCTACATAGGACTGGGAGGCCCAGCCCACTAACGCTTGTTAGCGTCACCAACAATCAGGGAACCCTGCTGCCTCCATACGGAGACAATCATATAGCTGTTTGGCGTACTCGCCAGGGCCTGCAGCCTGACCTCGTACGGATTTCATTCGGTGTGTTCATCTTCATCTACCACCAGCACACTCAAGTATACGTAAGAGGTAATTGCCCCTTAAAAGGGGTTGGAACGGAGTAACTCCAACATCACTCACTCATTTACTTCTTGCACTTACATTGTCCACCTAGCATTAATTCAGGGAGATCTGGTGCATCTGAGGACTCTCTCCTGCTTTACACCTCGTACTAACTTCAACGTCGGAGCCTCTACCTCTGGTATCCACCTCGAGGCTTTTTCCATTCCTTGTCTTGTAGTAACTTTGGTCACTAGGAATTCGCCTCAGTTTGTGGTCCTTGGAAGGAGCACCTCGCCTCGGTTTGCAATCCTCTGCTTTGGATAACACTTTCTGAAGCCTTGGGGTCCTTGGCCAACCCTCAGGACTTGAAGAGTGAATTTATCTCGTTACCCTCAGCTAATCCGTGCAGTAGCAATTGGCGTCGTCTGTAGGAATGTGGTTGGTAAGACGACCCCCACTTCAGGATAAACAATAATAACGCTCTAGATCTAAACCCCCTTTAGGCTTAGAGGTCATGGTGAGGAGAGCCAGGAACAATCCAAGCTTGGTTACCTACGAGCAGTTTTAGGTCGTCCTCGATCGTTTGGACCGCCTCACCAAATGAATGGAAGAAGTCTGCCCCCGAGCAGGAGGTCCCTCTCAAGGCAACCGCCCCGCTGGGGTGTTAGAGGATCAGGGCTGACACGAGAACATCGAGGTACTGGCCCTCGGCCACGGTAATCCATTGGCTGAATTGTCGGAATTGAGCAACAACCTTCTCCCAGGTTCACCACGAAGGAATATTTGTCCTCCTACCAGAAGGGAGAGAATGCCTACTTAATTCGAAAACAGTCATCAATCTTTGGAGCAGCAACACCACCGTCGCACGGTCCCCTAGGAGATGGCAGGCAGTTCGACCGCTCTGGAGTTCGCTCCTGAGGCGAGAGCCGACACCACCCCACTTCACCTCCCGTCTCAGACCTTAGGGATGTTCAAAATGATCGTCGTGCCCGCAGAGGAGCGTGCGACCCTGTCTCGGAGTATTCGGAAGTCTGAGCCGACACCCGTCGGGTCCGCGAAGACAAAAGCAGGGCCCATACTCGTGCTGACCCAGGGCTTGCCGAGATTGGGGCCGTCAAAGGACGAGCTCTGCTAGACACATGGACGCATTGACCCCGGAAATCATCGCGGAGCCTCTCCCCCCACGCTTCAAAGCTCCCACACTGGAGACGTACAGCGAAAGCACTGACCCCGATGACGACCTAGGGGGTTTCACGGTGCTCATGATACTATACGGATATTCCGATGCCTTGATGTGTCGGACCTTCTAGGCTACCTTCAGGGGGGCCGCTCGCCGCTGGTTCTCCAGCCTTCCTAGATCAATCAGCTCGTGGGAGCAATTTACAACCTTGTTCCTCGCCCGCTTCATTAGTAGTAGACGATGCTAGAAGAGCGTAGTCTCTCTGATGTCACTCAAACAGCAAACAGGAGCCGGGTGAAAGCCTGTGGTCTTACATCGACCGCTTTAAGAAAGAAGAGCTTGAAGGTCGAGACCTCGACCCTATGGTCTCCATGCACGTAGCCATTAACAGACTCCGCCCCGGCTCGACTCTCAAGTGCTCGGTCGCTAAGACCCCACCGAAGACTAAACTCGAATTCCTCAAAAAGGCCCAAAAATACATCATGGCCGAAGAGGCTTCGGCTGGGGACAAACAAGAAAGGGCAGTCGAGCGCCACGATGGGCCCCCGGAGAAGAAGTGGAAAGGTGCGGACCAGCGCCACTTCGGCAACAATGGCGGCAGAGATAACAAGTAGCCACCGGCTTTGGCCGACAAGGACTACACGCTAATCAACTCCACCCGCACCCAAATACTGATGCAGATAGGGGAAGAGAAGTTCGTGAAGTGGCCAAAGAAGATGAAGCGGAACCCCAAGAGGGGGAACCCTACGAAGTACTACAAGTACCACCGCGGCACCGAGCACGACACCAAGAACTGCTATGATCTAAAGAATGAAATAGTCCCTCATCCACAGAGGAAACCTCAAGTAGTTTGTCGGAGGAGAGGTCAGCGCCTCGTCATCCTAGCATAGCAGCAGCAGCAGCAAGTGGCAGGCGTCAGCGACATCTTCGCCGGGGGCATGGCCTAGGGTGGAGACTCAACCTCGACTCGAAAAGCCTATGCCAGGCAGCTGAACATCCAAGAGCCTGCCCCAAAGAAGCAGAAGTACCCAGACACTCCGTAGAGGCCGAGCTGTTCACTTGCCCTCGTCTTCACCAACGAGACTTAGAGGGGGTTACTGTCCCCCACGATGATGTCCTCGTGGTTGCAGCCATCATCTCCAATTTTATGGTGAAGAAGATCTTGGTGGATAGCGGCTCGTCAGCCGTTATCCTTTTTTACGACACTTATGAGAGAATGATGCTCGCGCCAGAGCGACTCTAGCCAGTCGACGCTCCCCTTGTTAGCTTCTTCGGCAGCGTCACCGGGCCGTGAGGCCGGAAGGAAAAATTACCTTACCCATCACAGTAGGGACAACGCCACACCAGGTGACTTGGATGCATGAGTTCCTAGTCGTGAAGGTTGCTTCTCCCTACATTGCGATACTGGGAAGACCAACCCTTCATGCGATAGGGGCAGCCATGTCCTCTTATCACCTGGCCCTTAAGTTTCCCATCGAGCATGGCGTTGGAGTCATTCATGGGAACCAACGGATCGCTCGCCAATGCTACGTGGCAGCACTAAAAGGAAAGAATAAGGAGGCCTTATCACTAGAAGGCCTCGACCCCCGGGAAGAACTAGCGAGCTGAGGACCTCGTCTTGATTCCCCTGGATGAGTCAACCCCAGAAAGGACAGTCTGCGTCTGGTCCAACCTCTCCCCTGAATGCCTATCTGAACTGGTAAGTTTCCTCAGAACTAACGCCGACGTCTTTGCTTGGTTCGTCATTGACATGCCTAGAATTGACCCATTACTCATAGGCTAAGCGTGGACCCGAGCTCTAAGCCAGTTCGGTAAAAGAAGAGGAACTTTGCATCGGAACGATGGACTACTTAGCTTCATGGGTGCCTTCTCCGAGTACAACCAGATCTAGATGCACCCCGATGACGAGGAGAAGACATCTTTCATCACTGAGCATGACACGTATTGCTACAAGGTGATGCCACTCGGCCTTAAGAATGTAGGGGCCACTTACCAGCACCTTGTCAACAAGGTTTTCAAGAATCAAATGGGGAGAAACGTCGAAGCCTATGTGGACGACATGGTGGTGAAGAGCCTGGCCGAGACCTTTGATATTCTGCGTAAATTCAACATTAAGCTCAACCCGAGCAAGTGTGCCTTTAGGGTTACCTCGGGGAAATTCTTAGGCTTTGTCGTCACTCAAAGGGGGATTGAAGCCAACCCAAGCAAGGGACATGCCATACTAGATATGGCACCCCCTTGGTCAGTAAAGAAGACTCAGAGACTCACCAGCAGGATAGCTGCCCTCAACCGTTTCATGTCGAAATTGATAGACCGCTGCCTTCCCTTCTTCTGCACCATCAAGAAGCTGAAATATTTCTAGTGGATGGAGGAGTGTCAGCGTGCCTTCGACCAGCTCAAGCTATACCTCGCCTCACTTCTGCTCCTCGCTCGGCCAGTATCAGGGGAAACCTTGTATTTGTACTTATTAGTCGAGATCTTTGATACTTTGCGTAAATTCAACATTAAGCTCAACCTGAGCAATTGTGCCTTTGGGGTTACTTTGGGAAAATTCTTAGGCTTTGTCGTCACTCAAAGGGGCATTGAAGCCAACCCAAGCAAGGTACCGAGCCATACTAGATATGGCATCCCCTCGGTCAGTAAAGAAGACTCAGAGACTCACTGGCAGGATAGCCGCCCTCAACTGTTTCATGTCGAAATTGACAGACTGTTGTCTTCCCTTCTTCTGCGCCATCAAGAAGCTGAAATATTTCTAGTGGATAGAGGAGTGCCAACGTGCCTTTGACCAGCTCAAGCTATACCTCGCTTCACTCCCGCTCCTCGCTCGGCCAGTATCAGGGGAAACCCTGTATTTGTACCTATTAGCCGGAGACGAGGCTGTCAGCTCGGTCCTGGTGAA